GTGAAAATGACACTTAAAATTCCCATTCAATTCCTCCTGCTGCATATCAGAATAATAATATGTCAGAAAATATAGGCCACATTTGTCTGCACATAGCTCGGTATTAATATATGTTTTTATTCATAAATATAAAATGTAGATGGGTTGATAGACCAAACGTAATTATAGGGAGTATTTGTAGTAAGCCTTTCTATTTCTTGGGGGAAGAAGCGTTTTTTGTTCAAATCTGTGCTGTCTGCAGAAAGGTTATAGATATTAGACAAGATGTTAAATTCTGGCAAAAACAAATCTTTCATGTTCAGATGGTGCTAAGAAAGCTCTTTTTTTTTTCATTTTTTTTTTTCATTTTAACTGTATGTTTGGTGTTTAATGCACATTCCAGTCAAAATAAAAATGGGAGATTCACTATTATACCCAATATAGGAGCACAAATTATTAAAAAAATCATATATGAAATGGACTTTAGAAACACACCCAAAGCCCATTTACAACATAACAAAAAGGCTTTTAACTTCTTTTAAATTACAAAACTGCTATTAATTTCTTAAAACAAACCCAACCCCAAAATCTCATAAAAAAGCCCAAAACAGTCAGTAGGGCATCAAAGTAATTTAATAATCAAAATTAAATTCAATAGGGCCACCTGTCACTTTTTGGGGGGTTTTTTTTTATAGTTTGTTTATAGAAATTAAATGGTGTAGAGTTTATCTATATTATTAGTGCTAAGAATGGGTATATGACTAAATATCTCAATAAGAATATAGAGAATTTGTTTTTATACAATTTGGAGAACAATTTTGCACACCATGTATGCATATGTACGGGTCTTCCATAGGATGCATGACTTGCCTATGTCTATTTCAGTGTTATAGGCCCTTTGAGGTTTTTGGCACAAGTGAGAAAAGGCTTATAAACTGAAGGTCCCTGGTTATAGTGGAAATGCTGTAATGAGGGGGTTGTGAGAGGGGTCTAATCCCACTATCCAATTCATTGTAGGCAAGCATCTTTCTGGTTATAGATATGTAATCATGCACACACAACACACAAACGAAAATTGAGTGTTCAAATTAAGCGTTGACGGATTGTGTGGATAAAGGGTGGACTCGTTGATAAACGAACATGTCGTTGATAAGCGAGTCATGTTCGTATTAACCTGTGGAATCCATTAGTGACCCGTTAAGAAATGAAGTTATTGTATTTTATTTTATTTTTAAGCTATTGCCTATGTAATTTGGACATTTTCTTTAAGTGTTTCTTATGTAGGATGTTTGGATAAAGAGCTTATTTTGTAAAATACATTTTATTTAAGTTTTTTGTTGAAAGGAAAGAATATACTGTAGTTAGAATTCTTAACAGGTGAAACAGGCTGTGTCATGTTACCTGTTAATCTCGCGGGTCGTGTTCGTGTTTTGATTTTTCTACACTTTAGCATAATAAGTGTTGTTCATGTCAACACCGTAAAAAAGCAGGTTGTGTCAGACAAGACCAGAAAACGAAAAAAACAACTCTTCCATAGGATGCATGACTTGCCTATGTCTATTTCAGTGTTATAGGCCCTTTGAGGTTTTTGGCACAAGTGAGAAAAGGCTTATAAACTGAAGGTCCCTGGTTATAGTGGAAATGCTGTAATGAGGGGGTTGTGAGAGGGGTCTAATCCCACTATCCAATTCATTGTAGGCAAGCATCTTTCTGGTTATAGATATGTAATCATGCACACACAACACACAAACGAAAATTGAGTGTTCAAATTAAGCGTTGACGGATTGTGTGGATAAAGGGTGGACTCGTTGATAAACGAGTCATGTTCGTATTAACCTGTGGAATCCATTAGTGACCCGTTAAGAAATGAAGTTATTGTATTTTATTTTATTTTTAAGCTATTGCCTATGTAATTTGGACATTTTCTTTAAGTGTTTCTTATGTAGGATGTTTGGATAAAGAGCTTATTTTGTAAAATACATTTTATTTAAGTTTTTTGTTGAAAAGAAAGAATATACTGTAGTTAGAATTCTTAACAGGTGAAACAGGCTGTGTCATGTTACCCGTTAATCTCGCGGGTCGTGTTCGTGTTTTGATTTTTCTACACTTTAGCATAATAAGTGTTGTTCATGTTAACACCGTAAAAAAGCAGGTTGTGTCAGACAAGACCAGAAAACGAAAAAAACAACCCGTTTGCCAGGTCTGGCTGCTTCAAAGTTACTCCCTGTTTCAAATGTGTAAGGAGGAATTTATGGTAGAGGAGTAGCTTGAAGCTATGTTTGATCGCCGCATGGTTAAAATGAAGGGCTAATATCGCGGTGATTGAGGTCCTGGAAGATGATACTTTCCAAACCTCCTAGCTAAATATCCAAAAGTTAAACCCCTGAAGACAACAAATGCTTAGGAAGTAAGAATGTTAGCAAACTGATGGGCAGAGTCAGCAACTTGTTAACACTAAGCAACAGCTAAGCAGGAATTAGTTGGTAGTTTGGTGGCAATGAGAAAGTATTCTGGGGAACAAGGATTTGCTACAAGAATAAGTAAGAGTTTAGCATACCATCTACTGAACGTATGAAATAAAACCTAACAGTTGCTATATACATATACTACTAAAACGTTGAATTATCAGTTTCTAACATATAAAACCTGTATTGAAACCCAATCCAATTAATGTGCCTACATACCATGTAAAAGATTTTTGGATCACCTAAGTTTCTGATTTCTGAAACTAGTATTAGAAACTGAAAAAGATCATCCATATCAATCCAAGCCAAAAACAAGTCAATCTAATTTGATACAAAAAATACGCCCAGAAAAAAAATGCTCTTTGACTCTGAAGCAACGCTTCTGTTTTGTGTTTAAAAGCGGCTCAACAGAGTTGCACTAGTATCCCACCACACTGTCTCCAACAAACTAAAATGACTATCGTTTCTCAACCAAATTTTGCTTTGCACGATTAGTCGTAACTTTACCTGCCTAATAAGCACACAGATAGGTCTCCTTCAGAGAGATCTCTCATTCTAAAATTTCTCACACAAATCAATTGTATGAAAAGGAGACAAAGATCATTTATCATGTCAGAAGACTCAAAAATACCAAATTTATGTAATTGCATACCCACCAATGTCTTTTTGCTCTATTTCTAGTTCCAAATTTGATCTAGCCAGTCAAATATTCTGACTCTATGGATTCCCAAAATATTTTTAAGGACCTTGGTTGTTAAGGCTAGCTAACAAGTATCTAACAAACTTGTACACTAACCACTCGTGTTAACTGAACCAAGATTTAATTCACCTAGACTGAAATATCATAACAAATTTCAAAATTGTGGGCATAATGTTGGTGCCTGTTTAGTAAAACAATTCAGATCTAGCTTTTAGCATTCCATCAGGATCCCTTCTAGTAATTTCTTTTCCCAAAAGAAACTGTCCATTGTCACGTGTCTGATCTCATCTTTTATTCACTACTTCGATACAAATATCTAATATGACATGACTTCAAAGTTGAACATTTCAGGAGATGTCATGTAAAATTGAACTAACATGACATTACTACAAATTATTTAACGTGAAATTACATCATCTCATTCATGACTGTTAAATTGAACTAATCATGTAACAACGTAGAAATATTTTTCATGAGATGCCAAAGATTGCTATTTAATTCAAAACAAACATGTTTAAGCAGTTAACTTTAAAGACAAGCATTCTGACTTCCGAAAGAAACTTATCAGCAAATTCAAGAGCAAAGGACGAACTCTGGATCTCTGCTAGTATTCACTCCTAGATAGGACTGAGATAATTCACAAATCTACCTGTCACCAGAGGGGGGAGAAAAACATACAACGATCAGGTAAATCCCAATAACAACTAATAATTGCATCATACATCTATGCACATATATAAGGTATCATTTCTATCTGATTTTTTTTCCTTTGGTTATACAACTGATGCTTGGTAGAATAAACCACAAATTTTTCCCTCAAACTTTAGCTTATGTTTAGTTTTTCCCTTAAATTCCTTATTCACATTAGTGCCCAATTTTCAAACTTCTGAACTGAACTATTTGTAACAGATTTACCAACGACATTTCTGGCCACATTTCTCACAAAGCCAAGACACGCCTATGCAAGTAGGTCCCACCTCTGTGAGAGATGTAGCCATTTAACGCTTTACATATAACATCTTCTAACCTTTACCCAGTTTAGAAAATTTGATCAGCCAATTACTCCTAACCTTTACCCAGTTTAGACAATTTGATCAGCCAAAGGGTAAAAAGTGTTGATTCATGATTATTGCATTGTTCAAAATTTAACCTTGTCTATTTTCCTTGCTCAGACTTTAACCTTGTTAATTAGCAATTTACATTAGGTAATTATAATGAAATTAAGGAAACCAGAGAGGCAAAATTATATGGGTGGAGATCATAATTAACAAACGATAAGCCCATAAAATGAGAGGAAGATGTAAAGATGGATAAACAGAAAATGAAGAGACAATGAGGAAGAATGGAGACCTTCGGAGGAGGTGGCTAGGGCGGGGAGCTTGGAGATAAGGCAAGCAGAAGCAATGGCGCTGTGGAGGGGTTGAAGAGAGCTCAATTCTCGTCGCAACAGCCTGTCAAGTCTTTCATAGATAAGATTATCGCATTCATAAACATTTTCTAAAATATACCATCTCTGCTAAAGAAGAAGAAGAAGAAGCAGAAACTACCTTGAAGAAGGAGAGCGACGAGGCATGAAATTGGACTGAATCGAAGGGCATGGCGTTGCTGAAATTCTTGCTCTTCTTGTTGTCGTCGCTCTGCAAAACGCACGCAGTATTGTCGATCTTCCAGCGATCGAAGCTGACATTTTCTTTTCTCTCAGTCTGTGTCTTTCGTTTCCAAACCCTAAAACCTCTGCAAAACCCCCATTTCAGACACACAGTGACAGATACTGAGCTCAATTTCAACTCCTGCTTCGTATTGGGTTAGTTGGATAAACTCGTATCATATTTGTGCCCACAATATT